GACCTCCCCACCGAGTTGTGCTTACGTCTGTTGTACTGTCATGCTGAATCACTGTTTGAGCTAGGTCACGCCTACGTGTACTTGAGCTACGAGGTCGGGCCAAATCTCCCTCCATCAGGTTCGTTTTTAAAAACCATGTTTCAAATAAAATGTAGTATGGGTCCTCTCACTTTTTCGCCATTAGATTTGAGGGAATCAGGGAATCAATAGTTGAAACTGTCGATCATGAACTTAATTAGTTTAAGGGTTCGAGCTTTTGATGAAGTCTACTGTCGACCACGACCAACTTGAATCGGAACCTACCGGATCATCTAACATTGAGAAGAAAAACTTGACAACTGGGACGATTTCTATGGGCTTCAATGACTGATGGCAAATGAACAGTGGTAGAGATGAGCAGATGTCGAGCTCCCAATTTAGGGGAGAGCTAGCTCTTAACATAGAAAACCCAACGGCGGGAGCAAAACTCCGATGATGAAAAAGTTGAATGCCAGGCTATTTCAGCTTTGCTTCGGTCAAGCTTGAATAGGAGTACGAGTCATGGCGTCTTATAGATTAATTTGGGCAACAATAAAGAAGAAAAATAGAGCATGGTGGACTGGGTTTAGTCTTATAACAAGGAGGAGAGAGAGATGGGAGGTCATGGGGACTAGTGCTCTGATCGGTTGGGAGGTCTTTGTCTATTGCAGTGCTAATGAACAAGGGAAATAATAGGAGGGAAGAGAGAGAGAGAGTTAATTAGTTAGTTAATTCTGGTTCTTGTAGCAGTGTGTCCTAATCTCTGATGCCACATATTCAGACCACACGTTCCCCAAGATAGGCAAATGGGTCAATGTTTGTGTCYGGTACATACTTGGACTTTGTACAAGCCATGATCAATGATTCCTTCCAGTAGAGTTTGCTTCAACTTCTGATCCTTCACATAGAATTTAGATGGATGAAATTCAAAGAAGACGTTATTGTCATTAAAAAAGCGAGCAAAAGATAAAAGATTTTTTGTGACATCTAGAACATACAATGTATCTTTGAGAAGTAATGGCTTATTAGAGCAAGGAATAGTCGAGGTACCAATGTGATTAATTTTCAAACTTGAGCCATTTCCAATTTTCAGTTCATATGAATCTGGTAATGGTTCTCCTGTTGCAGAGAGGGAATCGACAATATTCTTGATTTTCAGCAAATAGTCTCCCATAGAGAGTGAGCCTTTTTTTAATTCATTTAAATCTAACCTCAGATGTATGATTCTTCCCTTGGATTTAGGAGCATAGATGGTTTCAAGAGAAGAGACCATACTTGATGAGATGTAGTACAACCCACTACATTTGACAGAACATGTTCTATTAGAGAAGAAGTATCCAACTTACCAGAAGTTGGTCTTGGATTATCCAAGCTTTGTATGCAAGGTTCTCAGTTTGATTGTTAGTGTTGGTTGAGGTTGAGCCTATGATGTATCGAGGTGGGCACTTGAGACTGCCATCAACATAAGGCATTAGTTGATGACCGTCCAACACAGGCAGCATTTGCAGACACCACAGGAGATAGTTATGGCGGTCTAGTTTGATGGAGATAAGTTGGGGTGACATTGGAGCACAGATTTACTGGTTGAGGTATTGATGGTGTTGTGGTTTGGGTGAGGGTTTGAGGTTGTCATGGTGATCAGGGAGGAGGAGGAGAGTTTGAGTCTTTCAAGGCTCTGATAGCATGAAACAGTTTGAGAGAAATGGTTTTCCCTTTTATTTAGTATGAAGAGATCAAGAGAGTGAGTGAATTGATAGAGAGAGACTACAATACTGAGGTGATAAATACAAAGAAAATAAGAGATAAATGCAGAGAGAAAAAAGCGATAAATACAATAGTGGGTGAGAGTGTTTGAGTTTACTCTTGCTGGTCCATGGGAGGTGACGCTTACATGCCAAAGGGAACCTATGCTGATGATGACATGCTAAGCAATCACTTGGCTTTGAATACATCCGTGTTCTTAGATAATAGGTAGCTCAATCAACTTAGACATGGGATTAGCATATGCAAAGCTTCCCCTTCATGTACGTGGCGTAGTGCTAGTCCATGCATTGTCCTCATGAGCGATTGTGTGCCCATGAGATACCCCGATAGCCATTAACTAAGGCATGCACCCCAGGAGATGGACCACCCCACCTCTAAGAGGATGTTAAGCTATTAAAGATATTCCAAAAATAAGCATTTGTTTTTCCAAAAATCATATTAAGACTATTTAGTATTTACAATAGTTCCAATCGAACCTGCATTACGACCATGACCATCACACCCTAGTACATAGAAATTCCATATTTTCCCTTCATTACACATCCCAAAATTTCACCACTGGAGTATACTACCTAGAACTGTTCCCAAGGAACACCACCACAATGTATTAATTGGAAATTTCTCCCATAAGTGACAAGGCATATATTCTCAATGACAAAGGAAGTGTTCCCATAATCTATTAGCAGCCCCCTTATAAATTGTATCTTGTCAGTGGATCCTGGTGGGCTGAACAGTCATTCTCGGGAAAAATTACTGGGCACAGATTCCCATGAATGAATGAGAAGGGAGATATTCCCAGTGTGGAAACAACTGGTGGGTAGTAGATCCGAGCCCGAATTTCACACATCAAGTTACAGATTGTGCTATATTAATCAAGAAAACTAGTGCACAAAGTAAAGTGGAAAACTGTAGATAGCAATCAAATATAGTCCAACATGAACCCTGAGGCTATGGTGGAATTAGAAATACATGGATATTACAAAATATAAACTATATAAGCCATGTTAAATCCAACTCAAGGGTGACGAGCAGTGATGCGCACTGTAAGTGGATTTTTCATGAGGAGCACAAACTTGAAGTCTTCGGTCAAATCGGGGGGTTGCCCCTCGACAGCACTAGACCATTGAAAGGCATTAACTATGTTAGCTATTACAAACCCTACATGAAGCTTCCCTACCTCCATTCCTGCACAAGCTCTCATTCCACCTCCAAATGGAAGGAAATAAGATAGTTTCGTGGTTCCCGGCCGTATTTCATCAACCTCTTCTTGACGAGGCATGAACCGCTCAGGCATGTACTTCTCCGGTTCTGGCCACACATTTGGATTATAGTGTATAGCGTGAAGGTTTACCACCACTCTGGTACCTTGTGCCACCTTTGTTCCCATCAGAGTGGTCTCTGTGGCAGTCATGTGAGGCACCAAAGGAGCAACAGGCTTCAATCTCAACGTCTCCTTCACAGCCGCTTGTAAATATTGCAGCTTGCTTACATCCTCAACCCTCACAATTTGTTGGGTACTGTCTATGTTCTTCTTGATGTCTTGGTAGAGTTTTTGTTGGACTCGTTGCTCATTGGTCAAAAGAGCAAGTGCCCAAGTTGCGGTGGAGGAGGTGCTATCGATGCCGAGTGTGAATACCTCTAAGATGGTGAATATGGTGACATCTTCGGGGATGTTATTGGAAAGAAGGAAGTGCAAATAGCAGTTTGGAGGAGGAACTGCTCTGAGAAAAGGGCGTATCAAATCCTCGACTCGGCGTTTCAGGTCGCATGCCTCCTGGAATGTGTGCTTGAGGCCGGGGAAGTGTCGGCCGAAGAAGAAGGCGTCGGCCAGATAGCCAACGCCACTGATGCGGATGATATCTTCAATGGCTTTATCAATTGCTTCGGAGAACTTGGCATCTTCAAAGTTGGGGCCGAAGCAAAGGCGGCATAGTAAACGCACCGAGGTACGGCGAATATGGTGAAAAGGCTTGACAAGGCCACCGTTGAGGGAGGCCTCTTCACGCATGTCTCGGAGCATCTGTGCAATATCTTTTTCTTGCAAGTGGGTTTGGCCGGAGATGCTGAGGGGGCCTAGGCCACCGCTTTGAAGGCCCTTGCGAAGACTGTGCCAGTGGGGGCTGGCGTCAGATGTGTGGATGGTGCGAGCCCCTGCCCACATGATCTTGTCAATGTAAGGATGATCACGAGCAGCGTAGTCTGAGGACTTGTTCACCAACACCTCCCAAGCCACCTCGTCGTCGCTCACAACAATAGTGGGCCGCCAGCTACCAAGCCAGATGGTCATCACACTCCCATGAACTTTGGCCAGTTTGGTTAGGGCCACATGAAACAAGCCATCGGCTCTAGATAGTTGGTGCATGTTACCTATGATGGGCAATTTCCTGGGTCCTGCCGGCCATTTCATGGCAGTGGGCGACGTTCTTCGCTTTCGAATCATCATCTGTACAATTGCGACCACGAAGATTACACTGGCAAGAATTAAACCCTGATTGCCCTGCATCTCCGTTAACAGTCTCTCTCTCTCTCCCTCCCTCCTTGCTCTACTCTTTGGTTTTGCAGGGTTGCACCGTTCAAGAGTCAAGACCCCTTTTATATATAGCCGGCCTGGAGGTGGGAGTCCCTTAATCCTAGTATACAGTCAAAGTGACTGACTGGTAATTAGGGGTAATTTTCACCGTCGCCAACCACAGCAACAACGGGTCAAACCAATGCATCTAACTGATCAATCGCTATATAGCTATGCATGTTGTAACATCTTACACTACCTGATATGCCATATGTACCAAATTTCCGGTAGAGACAAATTAAGCTCCAAGTTTTATGTTACGTTTAAGGTTGATGGATCCAAGGGTTACAATTCCAATCAACTTCCTACAGTTCGATTTCATTGACAAGTAAACTTAGAATCCAATGGCTCTGAGTCTACATGTTGCATTTGGTTTGAAGCCCTTCAAAGCAATTAATTTATAGTGGTATCCGACTCGGACCTGAAGAAATCTTTGCTGCGTTTGAATGTCATGTCCATGTAAAATTACATTGATAGAGTCGATGTAAAATTTTACTATTTCCAATGTTTAACTACACTGTACACAAATGCTGATAAAATTCGAATGAAATTTTATTATTTACATCACAAACAAACACAGCCTTAATAAAATCCTAAAATTGTCCAAATTATGTGATATTTCGCGAGCTTGTGCATGCAGTCCTGGCAATGTCAAGAACGGGAATCACGTGGGTTTTACTTTTAACTAAGGTTTATATATAAATATAATAATAGGAAGTCAAAGTAAAGGTGTCGAATATTGACTCCATTGGTTTTGATTTTGAAGACCAGCAAACTATATGTAGGAAGAGCATCGTCTATTTTAACATGATTGGATTTGGATAATACGTGCAAGTTACGCGAGGACCTCACCTCGGTGAGTAAACAACTTTTCAGCGTGTCTCTTATCTTATATATCACTGTTTCTCAAATGATGATAATCTCATTCTCGACTGTCGTCGGTTGTGCTGGGGGTTGCTTTCTATGCTTCAACCCCCATTTAGAGCCCGTGGGCTGGGGGTTTAAGCTATGCTGCTTTGACTGAGCCGCCTTGAAGAAGAAGCTGTTCAAAGTTCGAACACTAGGAAGTTGGGTTTTTTATCAAATCATCAGTCGTTCTTCCTCGACATTCCTACCGTTTAAGCATGGATATCTAATCGGAATATGATGTTGTTTGGTACCAATGGCTTTCAAAACGGTTGTGCTGGGGGTTGCTTTATGATGGAGGGTGATTTGACCTGACCTCGTAGTATGAGTATACGTGGGCGTGATCTTGTTCAAGCGATGACTCAGTGTGACAACACAATAAGCGCAACCGCAACTCGGTGGGAAGGGCTCACCGAGCTGAGTTTGGCAACTCGATGGGTTAGGCTACTCGCCGAGAGCCGCCTGGCTTGCACCTCCTTCCCAAGGCTGAGGCACTCCGAGCTACCTCCGAGCTCAGAGCCCCCTGACCTTTTTTAATGTTCGAGCTCCTCCTAGCGGATTTTAGGCCACTCTCAAACAGGAGCACCACGATCCGCCCCTAGATACCCCCGAGGTAGAGACACCTCAGGCCAGACAGCTCGGTGTAGTTTGCCACAGGTAGCTCGCCACTTGCAGGGTAGCTTGCAGAAGAGCAGTTCGGCACATCGCAGGAAGGCTTCCTGCCCGACCACCGCACCCGACAAACCTGGAGACTACACCCACGTCTCTCGTCAGACAGTGTCGTGCCCGTCACCTTTAGAAGGTGTCTTACACCTGACAGATACGTACCCTGCAAGGATGGCCCCGCACGTGCCACCTCAGCCCTGTCTGTAACGGTTGCGGCAGGACGACAGTGGCGGTTATACTTGCCCTGTCAGGGGCAGGTGGGCCTGATTCAACAGAGTTCTGTTATAAGTAGCCCAATCCCAAAGGACAGAGGTAACTTCCATATACTCGCGCTATCTGCACTCTTAGCTTTCTTCCTCTCTTCTTGCATCTTTCACAGACCTCTAACTTAAGCGTCGGAGTGTTCTCGCCGGGCAAGCCCCCGGGGATTCTTCATATTCTCCATCTCAAGTACCTTTCAGAAGCCACACAAGTGCCAGCTAGGAGTGACCGTATTGCGCACCATCACTTCTATGCTTCAACCCCCATTTAGAGCTCGTTGGCTGTGATGTAGCGCGATCTAGCTGCTCCCTGTTGGAGGTGACCTGGCTTCCAGTTGGACGGTGGATTAGGTTGATCTGCAAGAGGATCAGAGAACCCGGGGTTGTTAGCCTGACGAGGTCGCTCCGATGCTTAAGTTAGTAGATTGTTGCGAGTTAAAAAGCTTAAGAGTGTAGAGAGCTAGAGAGTAGAGTAAACATGCGTACCTTGTACCCTCGGGGTTGGGGCCTTTATATAGTTGAGTCCTCACGGGTTTTGCGGAGCGGTTCCGGGATCCTCGTCATGATGAGATCTGTTTCCACATTAATTGAGAGATAACGTTGTCAACTGATAAGGCTTATTAATTTCGCCCGAATCGGGCGGGGAGGAGATAATGCTAGTTGTTACACGGTGTGATCCCATGTGGTTTGGTATCCGTTGGAGGGATTTCTGGGGTCACCAAGTAGTGATCCGAAGTTGGTATCCTCGAGCTGATGCTTTTAGGTTCCGAATTGGGTCGAATGCCGAAGTGCCTTGAGATCGAAGTAATCCTGTTGCGATCTGGTACCGAGATGACCTTGTCCCGAGATCACCTTATCCTGAGGTGGTTGAATATCCGAGCTCGATCTATTGTGGACTGATCGTGTTAGGCTAACTGTCATCTCTTAATAAAATCGTATCCACGTGTCCCCTCTTTACTAGGTCGGACCAAATCACCATTCATCAGGCTGAGTTTAGCTATGCTGCTTTGACCGAGCCGCCTTTAAGAAGAAGCGGTTTAAAGTTCGAACACTAGGAAGTTGGTTTCCTATATAGCTGATGAATAATTAAGTGTCACGTGTGTACCGAATCGGAATATGTGAACACGGGTTGGATACCGTTCAAGCATTTGTCGTTCTTCCTCGACATTCCTACCGTTCAAGCATCTGTCGTTCTTCCTCGACATTCCTACTGTTCAAGCATGGATACCGAATCGGAATATGATGTGTTTGGTACCAATGCGTTCCAAAAATTGTTCAGTTTGACTTTTGTTTTTCCCTCTTTTGAAATTTGAAGAATACACACAAAAAAAAACATGTCTAGTGGAGAGGCATGGTGATTGGGCAATTAAAGTTTTCGATTTATGACATGCATAATAAAAAAACTGTTCTCATTTTCAAATTTTAATGTGCCAATTTTTTTTCTCCTTTGTAGCGTGTCAGTTTGGTTTGCCTAGGCAGTCTCAGTTACTATCATGCTTTACAGCTTTGCATTGGGAATATCTCTCTACTTATGTGTTTTATTTATGGGGAGATATTTCTGATGCAAGGTTGTAAGAGGCTGTTGGGACTGTGTGAACACGGGTTGCCCCGATCGAAGCCGGTCTCTAATCTAACTAGCTCATTGGCCTTATTGGCCTATTGGGTCGGGTGTGCTGCTTGGTGCTTGTCATTGTAGAGGTCCAATGAGGCATCCGAAATCCGAAGGTCTTATGTACTTTAGTAAAAGTATTTTTCGTAAAAGTATTTTTATAAAAGTGTTTCTATAAACGTGCTTTGTAACAAATGCTTTCATAAAAATATTTTAAAAATGTTTTTGTAAAAGTGTTTTCATAAAAGTAATTTATTAAAAGTACTTTTATAAAAGTACTTTTGTAAAATTGCTTTCAAAGAGTATATTTTGAAAATTTGAAAGAAAATGAAGGATAAAATAGTCACAAATGCTTATTTAAGTGCTTATTAGAGAAAATGACTACCAAACACCCAACATAAGATAAGTGATTATTCGAATAAGCACTTGAAAAAGTTGGGTGCCAAATGCAAATAAGTGTTTATTCGAATAAGCACTTGCTTTTAAGTACTTATTCAATAAACACTTATTTTCAACTTAAGCACTCCCAAACATGGCCTAAATAATGTTTCCATTTTTTCCCTAAGGTTGTGTTTGTTTCAGGTGTAAATTCAGTTTTAACGATGAAAAAGTTAGCATCGGTTCAGTGATCGATGGAAAATAGAACCGGGTGGATTTAAATCTTTACACTAATGATGTTTGGCTGTCACGATGCAAAGTGAAAGGTTTCTACAGTTCTACTTTGTTTTTGCTCTAGAATCCTCCCTCAAGGATGTTACCAAATTTTGCTTCGAGAAACTCTAGCTAAAAAATGAATCAAAGATCGATCAGGAAAATCATAAGCAAGAACTAATAAAGAGAGAAAAATAAAAGTTCTAGACTATTGAGAAGCTAAAACTAGAAGTTTCACCTTAATGGGCTCTTCCCTAGTATTCACGATACAAAAAAGTATTTAGCTCAACAAACCATAGAAATCTTTGAAGCAATTTAAAAGACCAGATTAGTTTATTAGATTTGAATGGTTTTCAAATGTTCTCTCTGATTCTTTTTTTCTCACGCTTCAGAAGTCGAAATGATGCACAGAAGAACCAAGTAGAACTTGAGGTTTCATCGCCCATTCTGCTGCCAGATGTTGATCTATCGCTTGGTATCTATTGATGCTCGGATTGGCCGTGGACAATAAGGTAATTTTGCTCTTGAGCTTCGGTGGAGATGGCCGAGGGCTTCGAAGGTTCGAAGGAGGGGAAGCCGAGGCCAAGGACTATGTCCGAAGTGAAAGGTCTCTTCGGATACTATAGGAGTCGAAGGCTGGTACTGGGTGCGATGTGCAAGGGGTCCGAAGGAGGTCCTGCAAGGACAAAGGTGTTAGAGGCCTCGGGTGGATACCCAAGGTGAGGACTCCGATGATCAAATTAGTACAAGCGTAAAGTGAGTCAGGGGTCTGGAGCCAAAGGGTCCAAACGAGAACTTAGATAGCACTTATGTTCTCAGAGGGGAGTAGTGATTAGAGATTACTCAAGCTCCAAATCGAATCCAAAGAGTCCAGCCCCTTACCTTGTGGGGGGT